CAATAAGACAAATGTTTGAAGTTTTTTTATCATACAGAGGGTCAATTTAAATCAATTAATGCTACAAAGTCCAGAAATTTAGATTTCAAAAATAGGAAGAAAAAAAACATCTTCATTATCTTTTTTAATGTAAGAACGAAATTATCTTGTTTTAAGAGCAAATAAACTCCTTATATGTTTTTGTTGCTGATTTTATGTTACTTTTTTCAGTGTAAACTGACAGTAGATGAGCTGCAGCTAAGAAGACCATGGTGGATGTGGAGGAGCTGCAGAGATCCAAAGCTCAGGTGGGAGGATCAGTCTATTGAATTTGTTTGATGTTTTAAAAATGAAAGCAGAGAAAAAACAATCAAAAGGTGAGAGAAGATGTAGAGGAAGTTCTCTGGTTAAAACAGAGTAAGATTAGAAATAAAGCAGCATCACCCTGACTGCAGTAAGACACGGTGGAGGGAGACGTCCTACTTCCAGCTGCAGAACCGGTACGACTTTTACAGACATTCTAATCTAAGCAAAGAAAAAGTCTTTTAACGGTTAAAAAAGATCAGTTACTATAGAAAAGGCAGATTACAGAGAACCACAGATTTCAGTCAGAAAAATCTTTTTAAAACCATTTAACAGCCCCCCACCCCCACCCCATGAATATCAGTAACCACAACATTAAGGAGTAAGAACAGATCTGCAGCATCTATGAGCGGTTACTAAGCAACAGCTGCAGACAGATAACTGCTGGCTGGGCAGATATTTCTGTGAAGCTGGAAAACTGAGCTTCATCCAAACCAATCAGAGTTTCTGGGTCACAGTTGATGTTTGGGTTTTTATTTTTGCTGATGCACTAAAGAAGGGAAGGAAGATCAGAACGGGGGGGGGCATTAGGAGGAGGTTCCCCATTAGTGGGAGGGACCCCATCAATCTACATTCATAATTGAGGAATTTTACATATTTTTGACTTAATTTACGTTAAATTAGAACTCAAGAAACACTGATCAATTCAGCTGTAAAAGAGCAATTTTTTTTGAAAAATAAATTTTGCAGATGAAAACTGGGATCCTGTCTCAGCACCACTGAAGCTATCACCTTATTGTTTCTAAATAATTAGTCAAACTGAATTTGTAAAGAAAAGAAATGAAATAGATCCAAAGGACCGATCAGTAACCATGTCTGTTCCAGTGCAGTCTTCAGTACAGCGGCCATAACAGGAGCCAGGACATGATCTACAGGGGCACTGGCCCCCATTGTCCCCTGTCTAGAACCGCCCATGCATTAGGGGGAGGGGTCATCTCCAACCTCTGTGACTTGAGTCTAACATTGAATTTCTCATTTGATTTGAATGTGAAAGCTTTTTAAGGATGAATCACCTTGTAACAGCGTCGCCTGATAAAAAGGCTGAAATGACTGAATGAGGTCGACTTTGAACAAAACTTCAGATGAAACACAGAAAAACTGAAATCTACCAAATTTGCTCAGCTGATGGAAACAAGCAGTGAAACAGAACTGATTTCAGACATCAGTGGACAGTAAGAGCAGGCAGCGCTCTGGAACAGAATCCTGTAAAACGCCAACATCAAGCAGAAAAAGGACGACAGCACAGCTGATCGTTGTTGGATGGTCCTACCTTGCATCCTTCACAGGCGCTGACGCCATAGTGGTACCCAGAGGATTTGTCCTGGCAGACGAAGCAGGGCTTATAGACTCTGGGAGGAGGCGGCGGCGACGGCGGGCTGGGGACAAGCTCCTCGGAACTGGTGCTCTGCGTTTCAATGGCTGCAGGGGAAACAAAGGACAGGATGAAATCACAACCAGCCTTTTCATGTTTCCCTACATTGGTCCTGAAGGACTGGCTGAGTCCTGCTTCTGGGAGGGGAGATCATGGAGCCAAACAGTGGCTTAGATCCACCAACACACCTGAATCCACCTGGAGAGTCTGACCTGCTCTATCTGATGATAGCGTTACGCCAACCGCCCGCAAAATAACAGAAATATCAGCTATAAAGAGAGATATTCTGAACATCTGTGTGGATTAACTCTGAGACCAAGGATCAGATGAAGGATGTTAAACTGCACAGTTTCTCATGAAGCCCTGATGATGCTTTAATCTGTGTAGCAGGAAGCCATCTTTGTAACCCTGGAGATGAAGATTCAGACAGACTTTATACAAAACAGCATTTCATCCTGTACAGCCCTCAATA